TACACAAGGCAATTCAAAGTGCTGAACAAAACAAGAAAGCATTAAAATCATAAATAATCACAGAACATTAAAAAGAAAGATAAAAATATAAAATCCCTCAGTTGTATGCACAGTTAAACAGAACTGTCTTTAACCTGGTTTTAAACATTGTCAGAGAGGAGGCCTGTCTCACATCTTCAGGAAGACTGTTCCAGATTTTAGCAGCATGAATCTGAAAAGCAGCCTCCCCATGTTTAGTTCTGACTCTGGGCACTAACAGGAGTCCAGTCCCTGTGCTCCTCAGAGTCCGGGCTGGTTCATATGGGACTAACATGTCACTAATATATTTTGGTGCGAGGCCATGGAGAGACTTGTACACAAGCAGAGCTGTTTTAAAGTCTATTCTCTGAGCCACAGGAAGCCAGTGCAGAGACCTGAGGACTGGACTAATGTGGTCGTACTTCCTGGTTCTAGTCAGGACTCGAGCTGCTGCATTTTGAATGTACTGCAGCTGTTTTACAGCCTGTTTGGACAGACCTGTGAGCAGGCCATTGCAGTAGTCTAGCCTACTGGAGACAAATGCATGGATAAGAATCTCCAGGTCTGCTTTAGACACTATGTTTTTGATCCTGGCAATGTTTTTTAGATGGTAAAAAGCTGCTTGGAACACCATGATAATGTCGGCACATGTCGCAGAGAAGTGTCTGTGTCTCTGTGTGTGTGCGTGTGAGTATGTGTGAGGGTGTGTGGCACAAAACACTGGGAGGAGGGAAGTTTGACAATTACATAACAATTGTGAATCAATCTAAGATGTTAGAGCTCCATTATAACTGGCTTTTTAGTCTAAGAACCAAAAGTACAAAGCAAAATGTACTCTGTCTGCAACATGAAGTGGTCGACGCTTTATCACACCTGCTGAGGCATATTGAGACAACAAATGTGGTTAAATGCTACGTTTGTCTCGCCTCTTAAAGCTGCACGATTTCACTCTACTGTTGGAGGATCTGTCTCTTGCACCCGTTTGTGGAGATAATATTATTTGCTTGGAATAACATTAAACATATTTATCAGGTCAGATCTCTGGAAAGGTCCGCCCAATCCTAGTAAGAAGACAAGGCAAGGCCTTGCCTAAACAATAAAACAACTAGATTGAAACACATGCAAGATACATAGCGCACATTTTTTGCATCTTCGTTTCTGTTCATGAAACCTTAATCCTAAAACCAAAATATCTTACCACAAAAGAGTTGACCACAATTTGAAAACATTTTAGCGCTTCCACAATTTGCATTGTCACAGGATGACACTTTGAATGCTCAATACTCAATCAGGATGATCCCAATGCTTATAAAACAACCTTTTCTCACAATAGAATACCACTTATCACTAGTGGTTTGCATATTAGTCGTTAAATAGATGAGATGAAGCCCCCATACTTAACGATCAGAGCAGTTTAACCCTGTGATAAGGACACACTGGAATCCCTGACCTTTGAGGAGTTTAATAGAAGCCACAGTCATAGCACTCAGTCATCCTGTGTGTGCTCAGCTGGAGGAGGAAATGAAAACACGATGATAGTCTGAAGACCACATATCCACTATGAGGTTCATCGTTGCAGCAACTACAACACTTGGAGAGTACGAAGACAGACCAACTGTTGCTCTCTTATTGGTTCATTTGTTATAATAAAAACAAAAGAAGGACTCCCACACTCAACAATCCTTGCAAGCAATATATAATGAATACTAAAATGTATAGTGCAGCAAAATTTTGGTCCAACAAATTTTTTTAGGCAAAAAATGAAATGCTGCTACACTTTAAATGTTATTTGCAAGAATTACAAAGTGTGGGATTTCTTCTTTTGTGTAATCCACTGGGACGGTTCCTGTTCATCAAACTACCTTGATGTGCAAAGTTCTATGGTCGTCTGACAACAAATACAAAAATGACAAACACATGGAAAACAGGAAAGCCCAACATTTCTGCTAATGTTCCAAAAACACTCAATCATTTGTGAAGTTAATAATAGACTGAATAATGATGAACAATTCTCACATCACATGTCACATGACCACGTAGCTGTGTGCAAACAATTTAATTTAGAATTGGGATTTCTATAAACCAACCAATTTATTAGTTTAGCCGTTTTTAATCATGGGAAGTTACTGTCACCAACTCATTTTGTCAAACTTTAGCTAGGCCGATAACATGTTTTAAATTTGTGAATCTACAGAAGTCACTTGTTGCATGACAATCCACGCATTAAGCGTGCTCTGAAAAAACTAAATATATGTGATTACCTGTTGCTACAAAGCAACATGGTTTGAGCTTTATGCTGTTTTGGCTCTGTTAGTGGTAAATGCTGTCACCACTGCAGGATGCCAGATAAAGGCAGTCTCATGTGATCAACGAGGTCTGTCAGTCGAAGCAGCTTTTTCGATTAGCAACATACAACCACTTTACACAAGAGAGAAGCCATATCTTCTCACGCAAACACAAGGCATCATCGTCTGTAATGAGCTCTTGTGGCCTTTGCACAGATCATTTCACAAACAGGAAGAAGATTCAAACCATTTCCAGCACATTTGGAAGCACTTAGCAAATTCAACACAGAAGAGGGAATGATGTATAACCCTCAAATTTAGTCTTGGAGATTATAATTGAGCCTAAGAAACATTGTTTTTCTACTTTCCAATTTATTTTTTGGTACCAGGGCTGCACAGTGAAAGAGTGCTACACATCTCATTGCATTATCTCTGACCAACATCGTGACTGATGGTTATGATTAATGTGTAAAGTCTCATATAGAAGAGTAAACTTCAACAGAGTTATAATTTATCTGAAGCTTAAATATGTAGCAATACTTGATGCAGATAATATAATTCAAACATATTTCCGAAAATGTTAATAGTTCAATCTATTGTAGAGCCATTTTCTTCAAGAAGAAAAAAAAGATTCACTACAAAATATTTAAATATATATAGACTTGGTTTCAGACTTTTGCGTCTTTTTTGTGTGCAACACATGCCATAGTTTTGGCAAATAATAACTATGATAAAGATAAGATGTCAGATTTGAAATGAGAAACTGGTGATTTTGCCTGACAAGACGACCAAAGATAGTTGTTCCATTAACAAATCTTAAATTATCTTTAAAATATACTCAAATCAACAGGCTTTCCCAAATTTAAGGTATTTTTTGTTCGTCTTTTGTCCCTTTAGTTTGAAAAAGGAAGAAATTATTGAATTAATTGCAGTCTTCGCAATTTTCCATTTGTAATCAAGAATGTTCAGCTGCTAATCAAACATACACTTTAATATACCACTTAGCCTTTATTATTGTCAAGTTTAGCGTTACCCACAAACGAGAGACCAGCAGCCCCAGTACGGCACCGTCTCACCCCAGCCTTTCCTTCACCAAACGCCATGTCAGTATGCTGCTATTGATTGGCCAGTTACATTTACAGCCCCAAGCATTTAATAATATAGGATTGCTTCAAGTCTACACCCAGGCAGCACATTCCCTCACAAAGAGCCAGTACATGCTGCTGGCTGCTCTCCACATCATTAAGTCTGGAGAGAGCTCTACGGAAGCCAGGAGGGGGACAAAAAGCATTCATGGATTTTCTTGTTAACCAAACTGTGTTTACGCTTGATTTTTGGTGTGATTGGACTGAGTGCTTTTGTTTGAGGAGCAGTGGTGTGGATGAGAGCGGTGGGAAAAGGTCTTGAAGAGGCTACTTGTAAAAAGGCACTTAGTATTTTAGAATCAAGATAACTATAATTCATGTCAAAAAGATAATAATTTGAAAATGGCTTAATACCGACTAAAGCAAATAAATGAATACAACAAGTAAACCATAAAATAGCCAGGGATTGAATAATAGTTGGTGTTGAAATGGCTCAGAATTCTGTGTTTAGAAAAAAAAAAAAAAAATTAAAATCTGATGCTATTAGTTAAGTCCTTAGCGTTGGGTCTGAGTCCTTTAGTGGCACTACTCCACTGCTCTGTTAGTTTTGATTCTACATAGAAAGAATCAACCCAAAATTATGAGGCACAAGTTAAATGTATCTCTAGGGCCATGTTGACACCAGGCAGTGACATTTCTGTGCAAAAAAAATGCTAGAATTAGTTCTGTGTTGACGTGCAAGATTTGTAAATTAATAATATATTTTTAAAAATCTGATTGATTGAGGCAAAGGAATTGTAATACATCTTTTTGCCATAGTGAGACCAATATAGCTAGTACTATTCCCTTCAGTCTTTCATTCTATGGCTCATTGAGTGACTGATCCACTGACAAAATCTTTCGAGTTCACCATCAAATGCCACACCAACGTTTTCGCATGAGTTGGATTTCTGGAGTTCTTGTGGTGTCCCAGGGGCAGGTGGCAGCTGCTTGGCCCCCTCCTCAGCTCCACACACACGCTCTCCTCTGTGACTCTGAGGCCGCTGCAGACCACTATAATACATAGTGCCTCTAACATTAGCAACGCTCTCAGAGGAGAAGCCATGTGGAGCTGCCCATCACTGCCACACCAGCCATCTCTGCCCACTTAACAACCACACAGCCTCCCCCCATCACCCAGGCTCCTTGATGCAGGGGGATTGCCATCACAACTGCCAATGTCAAAATCATCCAACTAGCATGCAACACAGCTATGCACCATCAGCCTGAGCTTTGATGATAGCTCTGCATAGATACAATACTCAGCTGGTCTTTGCTGCAATAAAAATGGCACTTTATTAACAACATTAACCAATACAATCAAAATGCATCAACCTCCAGCTGTGATATACACGTTGAACTTCAGGTATGCATTCAGTCTGCCAACAATGCAACAAAACATTGCATTTCTCAGATACCAGAAGGCTCTTGAGCATTGTGAAGCTATGCACTTTTAGACTTCCAACCTCAAGAGAGCAGACAACTTCCTTTTAGTAATATGCACTTCCACCACTGCAAATGACTGAATGTGCACATCTGATCGAACCACAAGAGACAAAGGATATGAAATGACATGGAACAAACGCTTACCTCACTTAGTAGCAACGCAGAGGAGCTTCAGAAGTCCATCACCGACCACTTTGGCTGTAAACTAAGTGAGTAGTCGCAGCTCAAGACGCGCAACAGTTTGGGAAGGCAAAGGACAGCGGTGGTGATCTATAACAAGGAAGTAAAAGCAAAACAGATGATTCTGTTGTGAAATGACACTTAGCAAGCGCTGGTAGAAGCTTGTTTCTGCCCTGTGTTGTCCTCGCTAGCCAGGAGGTCTGGTAAAAATGCACACAAACTCCTCTTTCTCCCTCTCTTCGCCGCTTTCTGTTGCCTCTCCCCCATTCAGTTCCGACGTCAGAGCGAACACGTGACCCGGCTGGGAAAGGGGCGGGGCCTGTGCCAGAGAGCGAGAGAGAGAGAGAGAGAGAGAGAGAAAAGTGAGTGGGCGAGTTAGCGAGATAGTCAGGGTTGCTATAGAAACAGGCAGCAATGATTTCAATGCTTTTTTCAATAGGTCACACAATTGCAGGGTTTTATAACAAGCAAGAGGCTGCAGGAAAGCACGACACATTGCCAAGGGTTTTAATCAAATAATTGAGCGAGGGTAATTATTTTGGTGAAAACTAATGCAATCAGAGAGGGAATAATGTGCACGAGGCAAGCTGCACTTTTTGAACTAGACAAGAGCTAATTGTTGCCTGGTTAACTGGCACGTGCTCTGATCTGGTTAGGCTGGAAAATGGATACTTGTTTGCAATGGATTGGATGGCAATGCACTAAAGTCACAGATTTTATACTTAATTAATTGTTGCTTCTTTATTATGGCAAAGATGGAGGTTTTAGACTTGCTTCTTTATTATGCTAAAGTTTGAGATTTTATTCTAGTACAGACCTATTGTGTAGTGTGGGCGACAGTGGCTCAGTTGGTAGAGCATTGGCCTTAGAGCCAATTCTCACGACTACCACTGATGACTGCTGTCGTTGTGTCCTTGGGCAAGACACTTAACCCTACTTTGCCTGAAGCCCCTGCTGAAAGATCATGGCTCCTGTGGACTCACCACCTGCAGGAGGATCAGTGAGGGGCTGGTGCTCTATGTACTGGGTTCAGCTCTGACTGCCACCCCCCCAACCCAGAAATGGATTAAGGGGAAGACAATAGATGGATGGATGGACAGACTTTTTGTTCACTTATTCTTTACCGTGTTCTTATTCCTAAAGTTCTGTAACTGGTGATGCAACACTAACATTTCCCCACTGTGGGATGAATAAAGTATCTGTTAATCTTAGTTGTTGAGGATATAAAAGCACTGGGGAAAGTTTCATTATATATATATATAAAATGATAATCACCACTCAAATGTATTGGCTTTATGAATGTCGTGATTTCACACAGAAATGAAAATAGCATAAAAAGGATATAGTTACCTGCCAAGGCGAAACCATGATCATATAGCACACTGATTTGACAATGGCAAGACACAGCAATATTATGTCATGTGTACAAGTATAGAACAGGAAATAGAACATGAAAGCACTGCAATAACTTTCATTGTGCAGTACTGTTACCAACTTCATCCATAACTAATCATTTATTTTAACACTTGTCACCAGAACATCTCATAACGGCCCCTTATTAACGATTCAATATTGACGTGGTAAATCAAGTGACCCCTCCCTTCCCAAAGTATGCAGTTTATCTGGGCCAGTCCTTTCTCCTCAGACAAAGGGTGTGTGGCGTGGTCCTGCCCTGAGCCAGACCCTCCTTGCCCCATCCTCCACTGGTCCCGTACGTTACATTCATCCAAAAACCATCTGGGACGTTTGAATAGAAGTGGAGTGGGCCCCCGACAAGAGCGGGGTCAACCCAGTGAAAAGAGCAACTCCAGACTGCTGTGAGTGAAGGTATGTGAAGAATATGGCTTCACACTATTGATCCATGTGTCTGAAAAGCAAAAGAAATGAGGATTGTGGATCTTTTTTATGTAAATATTCATGGGAAAACATAAATGTGAAAAAAGCTGAGGTTTAGATTTTTGATTGCAGTATTGTATGATATATCAGGGCATTTGGGCATCTTATTTGAGCAAAAAAGATCATTATTATTATTCTCGTTGTTATTATTATTCTGATGTCTTATGTCTTGTTTATTGATGCTATAGTTTACAGTAATATCCTCTAAGCTCTACTTAAAACAGGTTAACTAAATGCATATAAATAGCAAGATTAGTGATTAATTATGGAATAAGATCATCCGATTAATCTGAATGAACCAGATCTGAAATATTGCCACATGGTAGATGCCAGAGGGCAGGAGGACAGCATAGATTCATTGGCACTATTATTAATTTTAATGAATGTTAGAGAAGAGAACAAAATGTTTCAAGCCCAAGAATATCATATAAGTTTTTCTTTAGTATGCATTAATCCTATGTGTTGTTTTTATATGCAACACAATGGAATCTGACATTATAGATGGAGAGAGAGTTCCCGTAGGAACCCTGAGCGCTCATGTCCAGTTGCATTGGTCCAGATCTGGGTGTGTTACTTGCTAAAGGGAATTCCTGCATCCTGGAGACTCAGGAAGCTCCGGACGCAGAGAGGAAGAGAAAGCACTTGACTGCAGCCAACAGCCGACTACAGCCCAGAGGAAACAGCCACTGTGCGCCTCCAAAGAATCTTTTATTGTCTCAAGTCACAGGCCGAAACAAGGAGAGGAAAAAGAAAACATGTTAGAGGAACCCTTGAGTAGAACAGTAAAATTCACTGAGCATTTTGAAGTCATGTTTCCATACTTGCAATTAGAGTAATGTCTTGGCTGATTAGGTCATACATATTTACATTATAATTTCTTAATTCAAGATTTTATTCGTTGATATTATAAATGTGGCGACAGTGGCTCAGTTGGTGGAGTATTGGCCTTTGGGCCTGAAGGTCGTGGGTTCGAGGTCACCACAAAACCTACTTCACAACTCCCCCTGATGACTGCTGTCGTTGTGTCCTTGGGCAAGACACTTAACCCCACTTTGCCTGAAGTCCCTGCTGAAAGACCACCACCTGCAGGAGGATCAGTGAGGGGCTAATGCTCTGTGTACTGGGTGCAACTCTGACTTCCTCCCTCCCGACCCAGAAATGGATTAAGGGGAAGAAAATGGAAGGATGGTTATTACAAATGTACATGAACGCAATCAACAAGTATGAGGAGGTCCACATTTGGGCTCATGCTGCTCTAATTGGTCTGGTTCACTGTTACTGGGCCAACTTGGGTTTACTTTATTTGTGGATGTAATACACAACAACAAGTTAACATGTGTCCAGTAGCGACTCAAGACAGGTAAAATATTTTGAAACAGATCTGTGAAGCATCTTTCCCTATAAGTGAATCAAACTTGTCCCAGTTGAAGTGAACCATAATGACTGTGTGAACGTGCCCTGAGATAGCGTAACGGCTAAGAATGAATTCATATTATTTGTGGGTTGAGGCTGGAGCACACATTTACTGAAATATCACTTATCTCGTTTATGCCGGAGTATTTGATTCACCCGTTGGCCTCTTGTAAACAGTCAATTTTGGACGCAGTGTTGCACTTGCCACATTGTTGCGGTGAGAGCAGAGGAACCTTGAACCTGGATAAGAGCTCTGTCCTGTTAATCTGTGCAGCAGGAGGCATTAGATAACAGAAGATTATAGGGATAATCCGCAGAGGAGCCCCAAACTGTTAACAAGATCCTAGTGCCTCTTATCAAATCAATCAATGTGAGAAACCCTGAAGGCTTTCACTTGCATTTGAGATAAGAGTGTCCCCTGTCTGAATTAATACAGGGAGTTAATCGCTTCCATCAGAGATAAAGCTAAAGAAATGACATAATTTTTAAGTGAAGGTAATTTAAAAAGCTGTAAAATAAAAAAAATCAGAATAAAGCAATACCAAAGAAGGCATGATTGGCACAACTTTTGGTTTTGAATGTATAATAATAACAACAGTGATTTTTGTCTGTGTTTTTTATGAACAGTTTTTATGTTTCCATGTGTCTGCTATACACTCCCTAGTGCCCATGGGCTCTCTGCATTTGACTTAGTATAAAATATAACCTTAAGACCCTGGAAATCCCTCTTATATCCACTCAAATCCAACATTCATAGAACAATAGTCTTAAAAATAATAGCAAAAAGTTAATAAGGATTTTATCTGTAGTCTGTCTGGACCTTTTTACTCTATTACATGTCCCTGAATCTAATTTTCAATGGATTTGGCCAAAAAAGCTGTGAAAAGGGAACAGTTTAAGACTACCACAGTTGGTCATTCTACAATCTATTACCCCCAACCCTCGCACACCAGCTGAAGCCTTTGTCGAAGAACTTTGGAGTTGGGCACTTCTCTGCAGAGTAAATGAGTCATCAGGGGCTAAATCTACAGCGCATCAGCCATGTTTCTCTAGAGTTGTTATATTTCTATAGTTAAAATTGAAGAAAATGACAATTGTCTGGGATCGTGTCATGAAATCTCCAAAAAATCTTCAAGATGCTTTGTTATTGGCAGTTCATTTGAAATAATTTGCCTCAAGAAGAAGTGAAAATGTATCTGTAGAGGAGTAAAATAGATCTAGCTTTTCAGAAATAACTTGTCATTATATATGGAGTTTCCTAAAACATTTTCAATTTGAATGTTTACAGTTTTTTTCTGTTTCGTAGAGAATATGCAGGAAGTGTGAGCGGATACATGTTTTTTCAATGTAAATATTTCCCTCATGACAACAATCAATAATCTGTTGGATACAAACATGCCGGGCTTTTGCAGGGGCGCTGTACCTCCACAAATAAAGCCACACTCTGGTTTGTGTCACATGCTTTTTTCCTACAGCATACAGTTGTAGTACGAATGCTGCTTGTTAAAGTTGTCATTTGCATTTAAAACAGTCAGTTCAGTGAGTCGGCCCTGGAGGAATCTCATTATGCAAGGCCCAGTGTGTTTACATTGAACCAAACAAATCCAGCTCACACTGAGCGGCTGGAGAATCAAACAACATGACATCTGAAATGAGCAACAATCTGCTGAGACGAATGCAACAATCAATTAGCTACACCTAATTTTAAGAGTGGAATATTTCACATGAAGGCTCGGTGTTTATGCATGTGCTGAATCGCCACAGTCTCATGTGGTGTCGCTGTTTATTTTTAGTTAGTGACCTTTTTGCTGTCATTGATCATCTATTAATTCAAAATAAGCTTTACTCCCGAGCATTTCTGTTGTATAGAACTCAGTTATATCAATAATACAGACCCAATAGTTATTATAATTTACAATGAAACTCACAAAAATTATTATTATTAGTTTATTGTTTTATTAATTGAGTTCATAGCTCTTACAATTCCTCATATGTTAATGGCCATGCTAGTAAACATATAATACAATACAATTTATTCTTGTATAGCCCTAAATCACAACAGAAGTCATCTCAGAGGACTTAACAAAACCATTGAAATCACCAACACAGATCAGAGAATCAACAGTTAAAACACAAAAAGAATATAGAACACATGTTGATAAATGTCATACATGTTGTAGAATGTTAAAGTGTCCTGGATCATCACCACAGTTCTTCTAGTTGGACACTAACTGCCCAACAGACCCTCCTGCATCTGCAAGGAAAAACTCATAAAAAACCCAGTGGGAAAAAGTGAGAAACCTCGGGGAGTTTGAGAAAGGGATCCGCTCCCACGGACGGACAGGCTATAGATCCAGGACCTAAGCTACAGAACATGGACCAGCGGCCGCTGAGCGTGGACAGGTCCGGTACAGGACTGAAGAACTCCCAGGCGGGTCGGGCAGGGCAGTCCGCAGGTGTAGATGGAGGAGGCCAGGTCCAGAAGTCCCGTCATGGTACCATGAAACAGACAATGGGACAATGGGTGAATAGCAATGAACAAACTACAGTCAGAATCCTAATAATGCTAAACAGATAAAGTAGGAAGGAGGAGAGGATAGTGCTCAAGTTACCATACTTCTCCCAGAAAACTGATAGTCTATTTAGCTTTCCCTGAGTCTTACCTTCCTAGCCATATGCTAACTAAAGAGGACTGTTTTAGCCTAGCCTAGAGCATAGGGTTGAAGATGCAGAGGACCGGGTCTCATATACGCAGTAAACATTTAGCTATGCTCCTGCGAAGTGGAAACGTTTATGAAGTACAGTATCCTCTTCACCTGCAGTATTATTTTACTTACCACTTTGATACTAGCACAAAACACAGGATTATTTGCTGAGAATAACATTTTTGTGATAGCTGTTTTTTGTTATTTTCCCTGGATCATTTGATGTAACATGACTAGAGGTGAGAATAACACGTCTATTTATGTGAATGAATCAAATATTTTTTTTAGCATGTATTCTGTTAACAATCTGAATAAAATTATAGTCATTATAAATACATTCAATTACAGTCAAAAACAATGTTAATTTGGTGTTTAAATAAACCTGCCTCAGTGAATATTATGTAAGTGGGAGGAATCAGAGGTGGGCAGAGATGCAACTGGCTCAACAAGCTAATCCAATGTACCTCAGTTTGTGCCAAAACACTGACGGCAGCATCTTAGTGCACTGTGGGGTTGTGTAATGTGTGGATTACATGGAGAATACACTTTCATTCAAGATCAGAGAGCAATGATAGAATACAGATAGAGCCATGGAGGTTGCAGAACCAACATAGAAAATTAGTGATGCACAAATGATGCAGATAATCGTGTGTTTTGAAAGTCGTGTCCATCTGTTCAATCAAGCTAATGTTACAGCGTCATCTGGCATCATGTGTAAAATAGGTTTCATTGTTATTGTCATTTCAATCTGGAGAACTGGCCAATTCACTGCTAGAGTAAAAGCTGCAGCAGTAGTGTATGATTACATTTTTCCATTAGCAAAACGATCATTTGGCCCATTTATTCTTTGGTTACAAAATGGTCCAAATCGGATTACAATTTCCATCATTTCAGTCTGTAATAACACAATACAATGTAATTTGATCGCACAAAAGACGTGTCATTGTATGTGTTACTTTTTCAGGTAGTCTTCATTATGTTAAGTTTGTCATAATGTGGGAGTTTGGCTTACATGTAGTCAACCTGTGTCAGGAACAACACAATAAGCCGTCCTCTGCTGTCACTGGTGCTGAGTGGTTGAAACCAACAGGAGGCATGAGTCATGCTCCGTGAAAACAGCCCACAGACGCATCCTGATGCTTACCGCCTCGAACAGAACCTCACAAAGCTATTTCAGACATAGATGGAAGATTAAGTTAAATAAAGACAATCAGAAGTGTTTGAACATCAAATATTTGCCAACTCCCTGGATGGAATACTGTATGTGGGATAGAGACAGTATTCAATGCTCTCTCCCCATCAAAAAATACATAATAATAGTTTGTAATTTCTTCTGTAATGAGTCAACACAAAAACAACTGCACACAAACACAAATGGATTAAAATAATAAATGTACTATTTTCCCAGGTGAACCAGAAGTCATTTGGGAAAACACATGGAAAGATTTGAAACTTCCAAACAATGCACTCTTTTCAAATCGTCCTGTGGTCCTTTTGTCTTATTTGGTGAAGTCACATTCACTTGGGACTGGATTGTGAATGCACCCTTATTTTAACTGTTTTTCAAGTCAAGTTAAGTTATTCATTGAACTTGACACTTTAATAGAAGGCTACATTTTTTCAACAAGTCGAATGAAAAAACTC